TATATATTTCAGCTTACTAAAAATATTTTCATAATGTTACTTTGACATCATTTCTTAAAACTAAGTCCCAAACATAATTGCTCAGTTGACATGTGTCATCCTCATGCGATACGAGATAACTATAATTCTGAAGCAATCCCGAAAAGAGGGGTCATCACAAACAAACATGACATTAAATTGTCATTATACGAACTAGAACAAACAGCTCTATGTTGCTTTGATATTTATCTATTTTCAGGAAACATGTGAAATAAATTTCAGGTCCATTTCATTATAGTGCCTAACAAGATTGTGTGAGGTAGACGAAATTGACCTTAAAACGATCGTATTGTCTTTTGATGTCCAAAAATAGGCAGATCGGACATATAAGGACTTTATCTAATGACTACATAAATTTGGGATGTATTATTATTATAATATTCAAATGAAACTGAAAATTGTAATTTTTTTAGGATAAACAACAATTTTACCTGGCGTAGCCGTTCATAAATGTTTTTCTGCATATATCTTCGAAAAATGGCGTATTTAATGGAATAGAACGTTAATACAGTAAACTTTCTCTTTTTTCTCCGCAATAGGCTATCAAAAATAATTTATCTAATGTGTATGTGGAAAATTATGTGAAAAGATAAAAAGTGGCTATTGTTACCTTTCATACCTTAAGTTTCGTTCATCTGATTCTGACCAATGCTTATATACTAAATATCTATTTATATGCCGCTATTATTGTTGTTGTTACCAATTATGTAAATCAATTGTATCTGATTTTATGCCCTTTATGGGCCCTGTAATTTGGGAAATAAAAAAAAAATCTATTCATAATTGATAAAACGTAATATGGACTGGTCCAGTGTCCAGTTTGCAGGTCATTTAATTTTCTGTACACATTCATGCACGCTCTGATTTAATCAATATACTCGTACGAAAAAGCATGAACAGTTTGAAGGTAATCTAATAATAACTTAATCCAATCAAATTGCATAAGATTCAATAACAATGTCAAGTCCACATCATAATGAGTAATAGAGGTAAACTGGGTAGGGAGAAAATGACAGATATTTCAAGTTAATATTTATGCAATAACGAATTAAAATTTGTCAACCAAAAGTTTTGCTACAATTTCAAAAACATGTCGTTCTGTATGGGTATAGTTTTCGGATCTTTCATTAGCGTATTTAAGGCTATAAAAAGTTTGGGCTTCAAAAGTTCACACAATTATTGACTTTATACAGAAAATTCGTCCTTGTAAAACATTTAATAGTGCGATTTTAAAGTAAAATTATTTCTTAAAACACTGCAAAAAATTTCATTCATATTGATAAAGTGGTATCGTCATAAAGTGTGTTGAAATGAACAGTGGTATAGCAAACATCGAATTCCCTCACAAAATGTTATCACACACTACAGTAAGGGGAGTCAGTTAAGTTTGTCTATTTTTAGATACTATACAGGTAATCTTTTGACACTACGTATACAACCTGTGTGACCTGTGTAGTGATTTTGATTTTACGATAAATTCATGAATGAACGATAATTTTATGAATGAACATGAGCAATGAAAACGATCGTTCCTTAACGAGTTAATCTAATAAAGTTTGTTTGACTGATTATGTTGCACGACCTTTCGCTAAGCATGGCCGCAGTTCAGTATAAAATGTATAATTTGATGATCTTTTCTGCTAACTACTATACTTGTGAAAAACCCTTGGCAAAAGAAACATATTCAGCTTTTTTTTTAATCGACCCAATTTACATAGTAATGGACGACTTCGTACATTTTATGATCGCAAATAAAATATGTATATAATATACTGTGCACTGTAGTTCGTATATATACTGAGACCCTTTGGCAACCCCACAGTTTAAATGTTTATAATAAATACGTCGTGAGTTGTGGGCGTTACATACGAACGTTCACCTAATCTGACCCAGTCAATGGGATATTTTAGCGCGCCAATCAAAGGTCTCGGCTACACTGTTTTACACATGATTCTATCGTTTGTTTAATGTGCTTTGAATGGGTATCGCTATCCATTGAGTTAAAGTTCAAATTAAAGTTCGAGTGGTTGTTCAGAGTTATTTGGTATGAAAAAGGGGAACGGCAGACAATAATAAGAAAAAAGTATTAAAAAGTTTACAGTATTTCGGACATAATTGGGATATCCCCAAACCACTTGGTCCTGTTGTTTTTATCCTAAGTTCTCAAACGGAAGCAGTATTTTTGTAATAAATTTGTAAAATATTCCACGTCTCGCCTGATATTGCTGCTGTAAGTGTAAAAGCGTCATGTTGATCGGCTGTACATTTATCTATACATTTATCGGTAAAAAAAAAAAAAGTTTTTCTGCAGATGCAGATGCTTTTTCTTGAAATTAAGGAATAACTCCTATACAAGTTTTAAAACACTTCATGGAGGTTTACAAATTTATCATGTCAAAACAGTTTAATTCGGTTTTATTTAACTAAAACAAAACTGTATGGTTTTCAACAATGAGCAAAAACCATACCCTATAGTAAGCTATAAAAGGTCCCGAAATTAAAAATGTAAAAAAACTAGAAACCTAACGATCTATAGATAGATAGATAGATACTTTATTCTTTAAAAACTAAATACAAGTTTACAGAGAAACATACAATATAAATACAGATACAATAGTCGAGGTAAACAAATCCAGTATGATATTCTAAAAGTAATATACATGGCATACATGTTTAGTAACATGTATAATGAAAGGTTAAACTCAATAGCAATAAAAAAAATGGAGATGGAGACGCCGACGCCAATATCGACGACGAAATATACGTTTGTTGTGTCTCACTGCCGCTACATTGATGTCGCAGGCTCGACCCAAATCAAAAGACTTGAACTTTATTGTTAACAAATGAAACACTTCAAATCAACTCGCACTAAAGTTACAGGGAAACGGGGGGAGGGGGGCTCGGACTAAGCGACAAAGCATCAATACTATAAAATAAGAATTCTTCGAATTTTTTTTTAGCGTAAATGATCATTTGAGCTTATACGAATATCAATCTTTTATTTGTAATCAATTGAATTCCCTGATCTACCTCGCACTAATTGAAAAATAAACTTTTTGGAATATCTGTTTCATATGTGACGACGGACATGTTCCAGTGGTCGTAACCATAAAACTGTCATCTTTTCCTTGAATGTAAACTACCAAATAAAACCAAATCACTGGGTTTGTACTTTTTGAATAACACGACGGGTGCCTTTCTGGAGCATCCGAGATTACCCCGATGGATTTATATTACCCAGTCATACCGATCTATTGAAATAGCCAAATGAAACTGTTTTGTATGCCACCGAAACTGAAAGTTGGGGGGGGGGGGATATTGTTTTACCCCTATCCGTCCGTCCGTCCGTCTGTCCGTCCCATTATGGGTATATAGTTATTCCGCATAACTCCTCCTACAGTTTGAATCCTAGGAACTTTTCTCTTTACTGTCTGTTTGTACATATATTGAAGGTGTGCATGTGGTCAGGGTTTTTATTTTTATTATCTTTTGCTCTTTTGGGAGATAATTGAACTTTTTTTTGTCATTTTTGGGGTATAAGCGGTTAAATGAGTTGAGTGCGGGGGCATCACTTTGTCTAATTAACTTTTTTTTCTCGTGTTGTGCTGTTACACAACTGTAACAGTCCGATGTAAGGTTAGGATTTAGCGCTCACATACATGTTAAACTCCGCCACGTGCACTTTCTTTATGTAACTCCCAAGTCAGGAGCATGAAGTTCAATTGTTGTCGTTGTATAAATGTGTGTCATTTTTTTTTGTAGATTGTTTATTTATAAATAAGACCGTTTGATTTTTCGTTTGATTTTTTTCACATGTTGCATGGTGGCCTTTTGTAGCTGACTATACGGTGTGTTGAAGGCTGTACGGTTGCCTATATATGATTTCTTACATCCACTGCATTTAAACTCTGATGGATAGTTGTCTCATTGTCAATCACACCACATCTAACCTTATTTCAACTTCTATGTTGCGTTTTGTATACTGTAACATTGTTTATCTTTTGTACGCATACCCCGGAGCCCTCTTTTCGGAAGCCCGAGCAAAAGTCCTTGTTCCGCGATAGAAAATGTAATTACGAACTCATATAAGATAGCTCGAATTTCAACTCAAAATCTTAATTAATCTAAATGAGACTTAAATTCGAATCTTACTCAAACTCTACCTCAAAGAGTGACTCAAATTTAATGTTGTAACTAGAACTCTACCTCAGTTAAATGTGACTCAAACTCGAAGTCCAACTCGAAATTCAATGCTAACTAAAACTTTAATTCTAATAATGACTTGAATTCGAAATCGAAGACTAACTCAAAGTTTAACTCAAACAGTAACCCGAACTTTAATTTGAACTCTAATTCGATGGATGGCCATACTCATCCAAGGCACATACAACATGGAAATCTATCTAAAAATAGAACAGGTTTTTCCGAATTGGTCACGTGATTTTTCCTCATCAAGTAATGGGATAACCACATCAAATAATGACAGGACCACATCAAAAAATGAAACAAACACATCATGTAGTGTAAAATCGTCAAATTTTGAAACATCATTGCGTAATGTTAAAACCATTTAAAGAATAGGCAAATCATCATTACGAAACAACAAAACCACATCATGTAATGAAACAACTACATAACGTTAAGTCACATTCACATCAAGTAATATTAAAACCACATTGACTAATGACACAACCACATTAAATAATGGTGAAACCACATCGAGTAATGACAAAACCATATTGAGTAATGACAAAACTATATCAAGTCAATACGAAACCATATCGTGTAATATCGAAATATCATTAAGTAATGACTATTCCATATTGAGTTATATCAAAACATCATTACGTAATGTCAAAACCATATTAAGTAAAGACGAAATATCATCAAGTAATAATAAAACAACATAAAGTAATATCAGAGTTCCACATAAGACAGCTGTGGCGTTCCATAGAATGACACGTTCTTCTTTATTGGTTATAAGTTCGCATGAAAACATTCTGGATAAAAGAAATAATGAAAACATAGTTTCCATATACAAATATATAATTTTCTCCAAATCTGGATTACAAAGAGAACCGCATGATATATGTGTGATGTAAAAACAGAGAAGGCTAGGGAAAACTCCTTCTGGTACTCCTGTACGTAGATTTCAAGTAGCATTCAAGTCATTCGAATTTTTGGAAGACAAATACGCATGGAAAATATTCATATATCGTAATGGTAAAATCAAATAATTCTATATTGCTCATTCGAGCATTCAGATATCGACTTTATTTTGAAAATAAAAGTCTAACTGAAAAAAAAAAAAAAATCTAAATTTGAAAAGGAAGTATGAGCTAGAGAACTTTGGTGGTATTACCTTTTAAAATAGAAATCCGAATCAAAATTGAGTTACAATTTCTTGAGAAGGTTATCTACCTTGAAATATCACTTTTGTTTTTCTTTCAGTAAATCAAAGAACAACTGTTTCGAAGTTCTTATTCGGACGGCATATATACGTGTTTACGAGCCAAGTAGTATTAAACCTCTAAAATATAGAACGCAACGAAGACGTTACTGATAGTCCAAATGATAACAACGGATCAAGTATGAAAAAGCTTACTGAATGACTAGGTTGTTTGTCAGTAGGGTCTATAATGCGCCTGGAAGTGACCATGTTTACTTCATATGCATATATTTTCAGTTGATCAATGTCTTAAAAGTGTTACATTTTTGGTTTGATTTTACGTCCATTAAAAACAATTCTGTATTGACATGATGTTGCAGAATTTTCTAAGAAGGAAAATAAATCTTTATTGACAGAATATTATAAAAGGATACTTTTTATATGACGGTAGATTTAAAAGGCCACGGAAACAAAGAATTTAGTATTAGTATATTTGTTCCACCAAAACAGTCAGGTACTACAGTATATAATCAGAAATAGATATCTTTCACTTTCAACTAAATTTTCAGAAAATGCTGTCCTTATCCCTATCAAAATTACGTGGTATATTTGATTTTATATTTGATAAACGAACTTCATCCGAACAGATATTTCGAGTTAATATAAAGGATAAGGAAAATTTTTGTCAAGTGACGTTTGACTTTTCCAAGGAATAAAGACGTTTGCAACATTTGGTTGCAAATGTGAAGCAAGCGAAGGATAGTGGCGAAGTAATATATCTTTCATGTAAGTGGCATCTATATAGTCAATGCCCCATTGAGTATAATATTCAGAAGTGTAGTCGTCTGTAAAAAATCTGTCCGATTCCAATCTTCTTCGAGCCATAATAGTAAAAATTCTAAAGAATGTGTCGCTAAACCCAAAACCTTCAGGAAGCGGTGATTCGGCTAGTGATCCAATTAGGAAATCAATCAACTCTACGTCATTATTGTACATATGACGAAGTTCTTCGGCATGAGTGGGATTTGTGGTGAGATCTTCAAATTTGTTGATCGGTGTCATATGGAACAACCGCCTAAACGCATTGTATCTGAAATAAAACAATGACAGAGATTAACCATTTAATACAAGTTACAGTAGTACATCGTCCCATATGCTGGTCATCCTATTGTTCCGTTTTAAGCATTGTTTTTTTAGTAAAATGACATGATTTTTCTAGGTGTCACTTTCAGTTCCCATGGTCAATCCATTTCCCTCCGTTTTGTTCTTTTCTGTTTAAACAGTAAAGTAATGTTTTATTAGCGATCTGATCATATTAAAGTATTGCTAGGCATAGCTTATATTGAATGTGTAATAGAATAACTATGATAAACCGATTACGCTTAAGTACTTCAGAAAAATATGTATATTTTTTACTATATATATATATATATAAGTATGTCAAATCATGTCTGTCATATGTCATGTTTGTCTTGGTAACAACACAATATTTGAATTTTACACCATACAATAAAATGATTTGATTTACATATTTTTTTAAAATGCATTGAAACGACCAGCGGACATGTATATATTTGCATTCAATTAAACATACATGTCATACATACCTCGGGATTCCCCTTTCCCTGTCACGTAATATATCGATTGTAGCCATGTCTACTTTTCCATTTCCACGAAGACTTGTAGCAGGTATATCAAGATTTCTCAAGAAATTTGGATAATTGTGGAGAGTCATTGCACCAGGATAATCATTGCCAAATGTATAAATTAAGTCCTCCATTGAGTTTTCTTCAAAGACTGACTCCGCCTTCTCAAATACTGCGTCTTTCATGTCGTATCGGTTTACTGGAATATTTTTTATAGGATGTACTAATTGCTGTATGTATAAAAAAAATAAATAAGAACTTCTCATTCACTTACATGGCTTATTTTAGTTTCGCATTGTCTAACTTCTTATCTTGGTGATAATAGATTGATTTAAAATATGCATTGATAATTATTATTGAAAAGGGTAATTCTTAAAGAATCTGTTCTTACCTAATATATCTGTTTGGTGACTTCTTACTTCAAATTCATCTGGCAATAGTGGATGTAATCGGTATGCGGCGATGAAATCTTGTGTAAGCGAATATGGAACTCCTCTAATGTTTTTCGGGTTTCCTAAATCAGATGTTATAAGTTTTGTAACATTTGTGAAACTTTATATATGTATTAAGTCTACATACAGCCTGAATTACTCATACTGTTTCTTTGGTCTTTGTTAAAATTGGCCACAATCTGACCAATTGAAGCATATTCTCTGGCAAATTGGCCTTTTACACTTTTTTTTTATTTACCAAAAGATTAAAGAAGAAAAAGTGAAAATTTACGAAACCAATCAAGTTTTACTATGGTCATGCTATACCAGATCGAATTTAAGAAAATTTTCATCAAGGATATAAATGACCAATTTCAATGCGCACAGCACGTGTTTCTGAAATAAAAATGTATATGGCCGCCATGTATGACAACTGATGACCAACAAGCATACACTGTCAGAGGAAAATAATTTACTGCGAACCAAATGAAACATTTCCACAGAGTCATCTCCTCTTTGTCAAGATTTCTCTTAGAAGAAATTTAAAGGTCTCAGTGAATAAAATACACAGATAACAATAGCTATTGTATTTATGCAATGGGAAAATAGAACTGACAAAAGTTTAAATACCTTGACCAAGAGGAGATGACTCTGTAGAAATGTTTCATTTGGTTCGCAATAAATTGACCAAAATATTGCCTCTGACGGCAATATCGATGGGAATTTCTCAACTCAATAGCGACAGATGTCCATTTATGTCGATTTAACATTACATATGTATAATAGGTTTTGTCATATATGCATGACTTTGTTTCTTAAAGATGGGTGTCTGTGTTGGATTTTGGAATTGTGTGACCGGAGATGCAGACATAGCAGAAGATTCTTGCATCGTCTCAATCCATTTCAGCTTGTGCGAATCCAAATGTTTTACATTGAAATCTTATAAATTAAAAAGGAGATGTAGTATAATTGAGCCAATGATACAACTAACTATCCACCACAGTCAAAATGACGTTCACCCTACAACCGTCAACAATGGACAAACCCATACCGTATACAGTTAGATATTAGCATTAAAGACCCCGACATGGATCAATGCAAAAAAGAAAACCAACATGAAAAAGCAAAAACAATATTTAAAAAAACAAATCAGTTTATATCTTGGCTTACAGTGTTTTTAAATGAACAAGTAATATTTTAGTATGTACTAGTATGTACATCATTTAATCGGTGTTTGAAACCAGAGGGAATCGGTTAGCAGATATATATAAAAGAAATATTTTAATCATTGTAATTTTATAAATGTTATTCGTATTTCCTGTCTATTCGTATTAAATTATCATCGTTGGCATTTTCGTATTTCTTGTCTATTCGTATTAAATTATCATCGTTAGCACTATAGATTTGTAGTTAACTACCCATGTACTTATACTGAAAAACATAAAGACATCAGTGTGTCAAAATCAATAGAAAAAAATTGTCTTTAACAAGGCTAAACATACCTCCTTTTTAACAATAATCTTTTATTTTACCAACAGTCGAAAAAACACAAGAAAAATGATATGAGCCTGCATTTAATATACATTCTTGGTTTCTTTTTTATGATTATTGTAGGCTGTATTTTTATGATATTGTCCTTGGTTTTGACATGTATACTTCTATAAATAGACCAAGTATGCACATTTAAATATTTGCTTACCTACAGCTCCCGGTACGCCATTCGAAAACTGTGGAAATTGTTTGGTTAACCATGCTGCTAAGGTTGCATTTCCCCTTGCAATCTCAATAGGAGTTACTCCATACCAGTTAGACTTTAACCCCAACTTAGCAACATCATTTTGCAGGATAGCAGTTGTCCATTCTAGCGTATGAATTTTAGCAATTACTGCAGCAATAATGAGTCTTGCCGTGTTATACAACATTTCATCATTCCCAGTTGGATTTCGTTCTTTAAGCATATTGCATACGTAATTGTGTTCTCGCGTCCAAATTATATGAAATATACCTAGTCCTACCCACCAATTTAAGGAACTTCCTAAAATTAAGATCAGGATTATAATTTAATAAAATTCATCTTTTAATGAATATCATTTTGTTGTACTATAATGGTCAAAATATAAGATTAATAATAAAAAAAATGTGTATGTTTGTTATCTCTTTCGTGATATATGCGTAAGTTTGTCTACAAGTACAGTTTTTGGCATCATTATATATAAGTTGAAATTACAGAGTTGTAGAAAAGAAAACTGAGATCGGGATTTTATGCGTCCTCTATTCTTTATTTTTTTGTTCATTTTTCTCTAATCTTTATTTTTTTTTTGGCCCATTTTTCACTATTCTTTATTTTTTAGTTCATTTTTTCCCCATTATTATCCATTCTGTAAACCCCATCTCCATCAAATCTGGAAATTTCAGCAAGTAAATTTCAGATTTGATGGAGATAAACATCTACATACCCGTAATTGGCACTCCATTCGACGGATCAATCGGTAGACGGTTATTTGAAGTTAGTTTTAATTTTCCGTCTTTTCTTGTGCGGATACGACGATTTATTTGTTTGTTAATTCCATATAGTTGTGATGCATCCCACCAGTGTGTTACAGTATTTTGGTAGGTATTGTAATCTTTGGAATGTCTGCAGCTGTCTGGTCTTGTCATAGGTATTTCCATTATATCATAGAAATCTGGATCATCATCTCGAATAGGAACCTTTAAATGTCTACAAATATACGATACAACATGTCATGATTCTTAAATTAAAAGTAAAAAAGTTTGATTTGGACGGTTTTTTGGCATTTATCGGGTAAGAGTAATGTCAAAACCTTAAAATGTCTACGAATATACGATACAACATAATGTAATGATTCTTAAATTAAAAGTAAAAAAGTTTCGTTTTTTTTCTTTCTGGGTGATAGTAAATATTCCACTTGGCATTTTTTTTACGAATCTTAACACAATATCATTGACAGTAATATACAAGTTCGATATTGACAGGAGGGACATATTCTGTTAAGAGTATGTTGCAAGTCGGGATAATTATGTGATCACAAGATCACTTCAATCTGGTTTGTACTGTTGTCAAAGATATTAATGATTTTTTAATACCCCTGTTATCATTTGATTAACAAAAAAGGTTACACTAAGATCGCCGTTTCTTTTTGGAAACAAATGGTACAATAAGACATTAAAGTTTGTTCTCAGACTAGAGTTCCAAACAGTGTGAGATAAACTTTGATAAAAAAATTAAGATAATGTCCTTGTACTCAATATTGATGTTAGTTTGTAAGGTTTTCTCCTCTCTTGTTTTTCCCCTCTCTCCTTTTTATGGTATACTTTCATTTTCCTCAGTTTGATTAAAAATTAAACGTATTTTAAAACGTATACCTGCTCCTGTCGTTTTTGCCACTGTCAAACCAATCAGTGGTCATAAACTGGACCCATCCGGTTACAAGGATATTAACAATGGTTACCGGAATAAATTTCTTCCTCTTCATTAATGTACGACTTATGTCACGTGGATTGGGGTTGTACAAATTCTTCTCATCTCTAACTGTGGCATTTAGGGGAACATTTCTGCCTTAAATTTAAAAAAAATACCCTCTGTTTATATTTCCGAAACGGTAGAACTATATGCCAAACAAAACCGTTGATAGAAGATTCAGCTATTGAGATTGTCATTTCTTCTTGAAAACAACTAATTTCAGTTTTTAATTGATGGTTGATGTATGTCCAGTAAGCAATATAATGAATATAGAACACTAGAAAAAGTTAAAGATAATCTCTGAACTTTCAGGAAAAACGCTTGGCTCAAACTGAAAGAGGTATGGTTTAGATTGCATAGGTTGTTTTCTCGCACTAGCATATCTACTCTTACAGGCAAAAACTGTCTTTGCGTTTATTTGCATATGCATTTTGAATGTACCTTTGAATGTCAAATTCTCCCAACTTTAGATACCGGTATTCTCAAATTCGGTGACGTAAAAATATTCATTCTAGGTACTTAGATGCAAAGACGAAAAGAATTGTGTTGCCTAATCCTTTAATTTCAACAACCCTGGTCCATTTTTATTCCGTATAATTAATACTGAAATAATGACGAATGTCGACGAATAATTGAAGCTTCTTTCCAATACTGTTCTAATGCCATTAGAATTGTTCCTTTTTGTCCAGACTCAATTCATTCTTATTTTAGTTACTTAATTCGTGACGCATATATATTAGTAAAATAAAAATGTACTTCTTACGACCAAATGATAATTAAATATTGCCCACTTTTATTTTTTCGTAAGAAGATCTGTTGTGTTAGAAAATATTTTTCACATAGATATCGGGACTTCCCTTATATGGCTCCGAGATCCAGAGGTAGGGATCTGGGCTCAAGATATGACGGGTCTGGGTTTTAGAGGAACTTATGAGCTAGCAAGTTAAACATTAGACTCGGCGTGTCGCTATATGATTAAGGTGGGTCATCACTATATATTTCCCCAGTTAGAATTTTCTTATACTTTGCCAAAATGGAGATTTTGCCATGCTTTATCAAAAAAATATAATAAAAAAAATTGGTCACAGTGCTATTTTTTTAAGCTACAAGTCGTCCAAAATTTCCCAATTTTACCTACATTATTCATGAAAAAGTACTTTTTTGTGAATAAAAAGAAATCTATGAGATAACATTTGAAACAAATAGGATAAAATAGGTCTAACAATTTGCTTTAAGAAAATAAATTTAAAAATTGGTGTCATCGAACTTGTTTTCTTGCTAAAAGTAAAATATCGCTAACATTCCAGTATAAAATTTGTACTACTAGAGTTACCTCCTCTTATATGACTAGGTTAAAAAATGTAATCGAACACAAACAAATATGTACTATTTGTTAAAACAGTCAAACTAATGCAAAAAATCACTATTTTGTTTTATTTAAACGAACAATCTTACTCATAAATAGCCAGTCTGTCTAAATATTTGCAGGTTTAAGTAAAGAACTAGACCAATTGTGAACTGCTATATTACAATCCAAGATGGCGGTATACAGTTAATCTACCTTTTAAGCAGGGGATAGCGGGATAATCAAGCCATGAGATAATCTTATTAAGATGTTATTGTCATGAATGTTCATGTAATATTTCTCGCTGTATGTTTAGCTGTTATATTTTGATTAATCAAATGGTTCTCGGAAAGGAATGTTGGGGGCATTAAAAGGAAGAGCAAGAATTCACTTAGTACCTGAGAAAAGTGTGACGGAAATATTTGTTGTACGAACGGACGAACGTACCGGTGGTTAGAAGGATAAACGGACAGACAATTTAAATGCAATGTAGCATCCATGCATTCTTCATCCACCTGAGTGGAGGTATAAAAAATTCGAAAAGAGGGAAAATAAATTTGTTGAAATATAAGCAACTATGAGAAACCGTACTAAGAACTCACCAAAACGATAATAAAGACTTCCCGATGCTGGATTTTCAAAATCGTTACACAGTCCATCCAATCGCCTGGATTTATTGCGGCGCTTGGAACAACCATATCTAACTTTTCTTCCTAGTCTCCCTGAAGAAATAAAGTTTTCGGTGCAAGTCGAGTATTAAACTAAAACAAAGGCACAAACTATAAATTAACCTAGTGTTCATACTTCTCATTTGTCATATCTAAATATAAATTCATTTCTATATTGTATTCATTTTAAAGCACATGGTACCGTTTCGACATCCGTAACATCTTTTATCAAAAAAATAAAGGAATGGTAGCATATTCCCATGAACGGGGCTGTATGTTTTTTAAAATCATTTTTTCTAATTATGTTTGATGCTAGGATCTTGCAAAATAAAATATTGAAATGTCCTTTACAAGTAGAAATTCAATAGTTTTATTGAAATACTTTTTAAAAGTAAGAAGAGCGTGGTATAAAATTATGATAAAAAAAAACTAATGGCCTCATTTGAAAAAAATAAAAAAACAAACTTATGATGACTTACTCGTCGAGTTTGGGTTTGTTTCAGTTAACCTACTTTTGGCAGAATTATGGCCCTTGGAACGAAAAAATTACATGAAAATTGTACTTGTCCGGAATTTTAATGTTTGGTAATGTCGGTTCCGTTCCGATTAATTGAAATGAGTTTAATATTTGCCAAGAGGCATATACAACGTACCGGCACACCTTATTTACAAAATCAAAAAAGGTGGTTCAAGGTGCGCATTTGTGTAGAAATATTTATGGTTTCCTGAATAATGAGGTTTTGAAGATACCAAGGATGTTTAAAGTAAGACGAACTATTATAAAAATCCTTGAATATGTACCTATAATTACAATGGCTAAATGTGATTTTAAATGTTTTCACATTTTCACAAGCTACATCTATACATGGTATTTTAGTAAGCGATTTAAGATTAAAATACGAGACAAACTGATATGCCCGGGTCCTTCATTTATTTTTTGTAAATATTCGCCAGGTGAAGTGGATCTTAATTGGTGTAAACTATTTTGAAGTTATCCGTTACTAAATGGGAACATTTTCTACAGACAACATTCTTTAACGGATAGTTGTACATCTTCCGAAATCTGTAGGCATTAGCATATGAAATGCTTCTTGTCAACGATACAGACTGAAATTATATCTAAAAACTCGGTTTTTTAAATTATAATAAAACTTCTGATCTTTCCTGAGAGGCATTCATTAAAGCATGAATTAATTTAAATGTTATACTTTAAAATGGCTATTAAAAAAATACCAAAAGGTCCTAAACGACGATCTCAAGAACATGAATCTTAAAAGTAAGATTAAGACGTCCCATATTTGACTACTTAAGTATCACTCTTTCATAGACACTCATATTTTCGAAAATGGGAATTTGACAGCTAAATTTCTCTTGATGCTTTGAATACAAATCACCAACTTAACCCACAAGAAACAGCGTATTATCAACGACAATAGCTTATTCAAGAAGCTTTTACAACTTTAGTTTGTACTGTTGGGGGACTGACTGTTTATCGAAGTTTAATCAGTCTTTTCTATTTATCTAGATGTATTGGTGAATTTCTGGAAAATATTAGTTATAGTGAAGTCATATGAAAGAATCAAAACAGAAACAAGACAGAGTACACGAGTAATTGGTGTCATTGGAACATACATTTCTATTGTCTGTATAAGTGTTTATAAACAAAATACCAATCTTTGGATCCAAACAGTTTCTAAGTCGTCTCTGACCGTAGGATTGTTCTGTGCTCTCTGTGTAACTGTCAATTAAATTTTCATTTTGGAGTTTTTCTTGTGATTCCCCTACTGAGAGTACGTCATATGGATATGGATACTGCCACCAATTGGAAGGAACTAAAATAAAAATGTGCATCAGTATAATTCTAGATAGTTACATATATATCTAGGGTCTAGATACTAGTCAACAATCATTCTTACGAGTGCGTCGGATCGTTATGGAGAACGATATTGTACACAGTAATTAAACACAATATACGTATAAAAAGTGTACAACAACACACAGGCACTTGTCTCCGAAAATTTGTTTTTCCTCTATACCCTAATATAACAATAAGGTATATAGGGGGATTTCAGAGACAAGTGCCTGTGCCACACCAAAACAACGATAAAAAAGTATGAAACAAAAAATACAAAATTCAATAGATATTTCGGATGACAAATATCCTTTTACAACATCTACAATGGCCAACACTAGAGGAGAGAAGAAAGAGTTCTAGACTAACCCTCCTATACAGAATTTCAAACGAAGAAGTTGAGATTGATATTAGTGGCAAACTTATACCACCAGACAGATTATCAAGACATACCAAGGTATACTCTTTCCAAATGCCATCGTGCGAAAAGCGATAAGAGATAAGAACACCTCTCGGTGACCGCTGCAGAAAGCCCGGCCTTGACTCGTTCAAAAGACTATTGCATGCTCATTAAATTGCAAGTCCCATTTCTTCATTTGCACCATGTATAAACGTTATGTACTGCACAAATTTTCATATTTTTTAGCGCACAACAAACAGTGACATGATAGTCAACCTGATGATGGTGGTCGCTAACGTGTTAGAAGTAGAAGTACACAATACTAAACAGTATCAATCATGTTTCATGTCAACGTGATCTTTGTTTATTTTTATGAACCGTCGTTATCCATGCAGAGTAAAATTAAAATGTCCAGAGAAGTAACGTATTGGACTGTCTTGTAAAAATAAACAGGATCAAATTTTAGGAAAAAATTATCCGCATTCGATTCCCCCCTCCCCCCGGAAAAAAACATACATGAAAACAAAAATAAACGCATACACACAAAAATAGTCACTCCCAAATGCACAAACTTGCTGTACTGCACATGGGTTTTCACCAAAAAGTCCTGTACTCTTAGTGATTGTCTTTGGTTGCTGATTAAAATTGCAACAATTGTATTTTAAACACAATGTAAATTAAGTTGCAAAATGTTAACTTATCAGATCGACACCAAGCACAAAAAGACAAAGGACACAAAGTACCATTTTGAGAGTACAGGCAACAGCTGAAATTCAAAGTTCATTCAAAGCCAATTACAATTACCAAGATAAACCATGCATGTTTCCCAGACTAAACCAAGGATAAACGCGTCGTCGTGCTTAGCATACCCCAATTTGTTATTTAAAATATTGGCAAACAGAAAGTAGATCAGATTCGAAACAAAACTGCTTGCATGTTACAGCTCATCACTGTCGTGTGAGAAAAGTGTGACAGAAATATCTGTTGGAAGCACGGAAGGACGGACAGGCAATTTGAATGTAATATAAAACCGTGAGCCCCATCCCCTAGAGTGGAATTATAATAATATCATTAGTACACATCTTAAACAATTCTGGGAAAAGTATGACCTAGAGCAATACCAAAATATAAATATCGCCAGGATGTTGGCCCATTAATTGGTGCTCATTACTGTGTAACAATACGTTTCTATAGTTGTTTTTTAAATTTTAATTTATTAAGTACACTTCCTGCATCTAGTTTGACATGTAATCGATCATTTCGAACCTGAAAATACTAGACAATCCTGACAAAACGGATTTATTCAATTGCAACATAATGATACATTTACTTCTTTCTCAAATCTTTGAATACAGCTTGAGTGTCCTGGATATTTGTCAGACTGTACTTGTTTTCTCTCTCTCCCAAGCCAAAATACAAAATACGATGCGAAATTTCGATTTTGATGTATTTTATGTGGATTTTAAAACAGTTGGCAAACAGCGTCTGCATGTCGAATTCGGTTTCTTTACTATTTTCCACTCGAATACATTATTGCATAATACATTTGAAAGAAACTAAAACAATTATTTTTATAACTGCCATGTGTTACTAGAATTAAGAGGCGGTATAGCTCTCTGTGTATATGTATATGATTCTATTCACAGGTTAAGTTTACAAAAGTTCATGAATTTATGATAATAAAAATGAGGAGATGTGGTATGATTGCCAATGAGACAACTGTCCAGTAAAGTTAAAATGAAATGGAAGTATTTTTCTATTATAAAGTAACGGTTGTTGTTTTTATTTCCTTCCTTAAAGCTTGTGATAAAAGTGATAAAATATGTTAATAAAGTAGATTTAAACTCGTTTCCGTGAGAAAATATAGAACTTCTTATAATATAATAATGCTTCACTGTGGTTGAAAATAAGGTTGACCAAATCAATTTTTACATTCTTTAGTCGAAAAAACCCAATACTATCATATGACAGTCATTCTTTATTTTTTCGCTGGATCGTTGACTTGTGGACTGAAATGAACAGCATCATTGTCGAGAACATTCAAAACTTCGTGGTTGTCTTTGGTTGCTGATTAAAATTGCAACAATTGTATTTTAAACACAATGTAAATTAAGTTGCAAAATGTTAACTTATCAGATCGACACCAAGCACAAAAAGACAAAGGACACAAAGTACCATTTTGAGAGTACAGGCAACAGCTGAAATTCAAAGTTCATTCAAAGCCAATTACAATTACCAAGATAAACCATGCATGTTTCCCAGACTAAACCAAGGATAAACGCGTCGTCGTGCTTAGCATACCCCAATTTGTTATTTAAAATATTGGCAAACAGAAAGTAGATCAGATTCGAAACAAAACTGCTTGCATGTTACAGCTCATCACTGTCGTGTGAGAAAAGTGTGACAGAAATATCTGTTGGAAGCACGGAAGGACGGACAGGCAATTTGAATGTAATATAAAACCGTGAGCCCCATCCCCTAGAGTGGAATTATAATAATATCATTAGTACACATCTTAAACAATTCTGGGAAAAGTATGACCTAGAGCAATACCAAAATATAAATATCGCCAGGATGTTGGCCCATTAATTGGTGCTCATTACTGTGTAACAATACGTTTCTATAGTTGTTTTTTAAATTTTAATTTATTAAGTACACTTCCTGCATCTAGTTTGACATGTAATCGATCATTTCGAACCTGAAAATACTAGACAATCCTGACAAAACGGATTTATTCAATTGCAACATAATGATACATTTACTTCTTTCTCAAATCTTTGAATACAGCTTGAGTGTCCTGGATATTTGTCAGACTGTACTTGTTTTCTCTCTCTCCCAAGCCAAAATACAAAATACGATGCGAAATTTCGATTTTGATGTATTTTATGTGGATTTTAAAACAGTTGGCAAACAGCGTCTGCATGTCGAATTCGGTTTCTTTACTATTTTCCACTCGAATACATTATTGCATAATACATTTGAAAGAAACTAAAACAATTATTTTTATAACTGCCATGTGTTACTAGAATTAAGAGGCGGTATAGCTCTCTGTGTATATGTATATGATTCTATTCACAGGTTAAGTTTACAAAAGTTCATGAATTTATGATAATAAAAATGAGGAGATGTGGTATGATTGCCAATGAGACAACTGTCCAGTAAAGTTAAAATGAAATGGAAGTATTTTTCTATTATAAAGTAACGGTTGTTGTTTTTATTTCCTTCCTTAAAGCTTGTGATAAAAGTGATAAAATATGTTAATAAAGTAGATTTAAACTCGTTTCCGTGAGAAAATATAGAACTTCTTATAATATAATAATGCTTCACTGTGGTTGAAAATAAGGTTGACCAAATCAATTTTTACATTCTTTAGTCGAAAAAACCCAATACTATCATATGACAGTCATTCTTTATTTTTTCGCTGGATCGTTGACTTGTGGACTGAAATGAACAGCATCATTGTCGAGAACATTCAAAACTTCGTGGTTGTCTTTGGTTGCTGATTAAAATTGCAACAATTGTATTTTAAACACAATGTAAATTAAGTTGCAAAATGTTAACTTATCAGATCGACACCAAGCACAAAAAGACAAAGGACACAAAGTACCATTTTGAGAGTACAGGCAACAGCTGAAATTCAAAGTTCATTCAAAGCCAATTACAATTACCAAGATAAACCATGCATGTTTCCCAGACTAAACCAAGGATAAACGCGTCGTCGTGCTTAGCATACCCCAATTTGTTATTTAAAATATTGGCAAACAGAAAGTAGATCAGATTCGAAACAAAACTGCTTGCATGTTACAGCTCATCACTGTCGTGTGAGAAAAGTGTGACAGAAATATCTGTTGGAAGCACGGAAGGACGGACAGGCAATTTGAATGTAATATAAAACCGTGAGCCCCATCCCCTAGAGTGGAATTATAATAATATCATTAGTACACATCTTAAACAATTCTGGGAAAAGCATGACCTAGAGCAATACCAAAATATAAATATCGCCAGGATGTTGGCCCATTAATTGGTGCTCATTACTGTGTAACAATACGTTTCTATAGTTGTTTTTTAAATTTTAATTTATTAAGTACACTTCCTGCATCTAGTTTGACATGTAATCGATCATTTCGAACCTGAAAATACTAGACAATCCTGACAAAACGGATTTATTCAATTGCAACATAATGATACATTTACTTCTTTCTCAAATCTTTGAATACAGCTTGAGTGTCCTGGATATTTGTCAGACTGTACTTGTTTTCTCTCTCTCCCAAGCCAAAATACAAAATACGATGCGAAATTTCGATTTTGATGTATTTTATGTGGATTTTAAAACAGTTGGCAAACAGCGTCTGCATGTCGAATTCGGTTTCTTTACTATTTTCCACTCGAATACATTATTGCATAATACATTTGAAAGAAACTAAAACAATTATTTTTATAACTGCCATGTGTTACTAGAATTAAGAGGCGGTATAGCTCTCTGTGTATATGTATATGATTCTATTCACAGGTTAAGTTTACAAAAGTTCATGAATTTATGATAATAAAAATGAGGAGATGTGGTATGATTGCCAATGAGA